GAAGGGGTGTTGTCTATTTTGTTTCTGTGTCACACATCACAACTGCAAGGTGATGGGGCTTTCTGAGTTGCATTTTAAATTTGGATCTGGTTATTTGTTGGCTGTCAGTGCTCCGTGCTTGCCGTAGCATGGAGGGAAAATCTCCAACCAACGTGCACCCGTACGGCTGCAATAAATAGTCCAAGATAACAGACACCTCTCTAATGTTTTTGTTAGAAAGTCAGCCAGAGGACTCCACTCTGGGCAGTGACTAATGATATTTGAACGCTGCTCTTTACGCAAGTGTGATAATATATATATATATAATTTCACTCACGTAAAGAGCAGCATTCAAATACCATTATATATATGTATTTAAATTGTGATGACTTAGAGATAAGACAAATCAAGATATCGTTTCGGCTGGGTTGCTAGGTAAGGAACACAATGTGGATTTGGGAACCATGTTTTCTAAGCTGAACTTCCTAATTTTTCTCAACTGGAAACTTTCTTCATCCTTTTACACGGAAATGAGGAGAGATTTCTACCCTGCAGCTTTCTGCTCAGTGGTGCGATATAGGTATGGAGCATAATTTTAATTAGAATTAATTAACTTCTTATCTTGTTGAGGAAGTTGACAGAAAATTTGCCTTTTTTTTTTTTTTTTTTTTCTTTTTTCTTTTTTCTGACAATGGGAGGCAGTGTGAATATTTAGAACTTCCAGGTGCGGAAGGGTCCAATGTAGAAATGTGAAGTGTAGAATAAAATAGTAGAAAAGATGAGATGTATGAGAACTTTGGGAAGAAAACACAGGAAACCTAGAGGATTTTGTCTATTTACTCACTATTTACAATCCATTTACAAATTCTGTTGTGAGTTTAAGCTTTAAGGAACCACTGATGTGTATTGTTAGGACTCCGACCAAGCTTCTTGGCATCCTTGGAAAGCCAGTAGCTTTGAGGATGCTGAAGAAATTATAATGCTCTAGGTAGACACAAGTGTAGCAGATTCATAGCTGGATTCACAGGACTGGATTCACAGACATTGTTGCTTTGGCTGCATTTACTATTAGGTCCCTTTGTTTGTGATGGGGAAGAGCAGACCTTCCCCACTCCACAGTCAGAGTGCTCTGCTCTCTGGGCCTAATGTCACATCTGAAGACAACTGTTAGTAGTCCATAATAATAATGTAACTGTGCTGTGCACTATTTGTTATCAGTGTAACTGTTATCGATCCTTTCCTCAAAACAGGGAATGGAATCATAGTCATAGAATGGCCAGGGTTGAAAAGGACCACAATGCTCATCCAGTTCCAACCCCCTGCTAGGTGCAGGGTCACCAACCAGCAGACCAGGCTGCCCAGAGCCACATCCAGCCTGGCCTTGAATGCCTGCAGGGATGGAGCATCCACAGCCTCCTTGGGCAACCTGTTCCAGTGCATCACCTCCCTCTGAGTGAAAATAGACTAAAGTTTACTCTTTGGTGCAACAAGTACATTAATGTTAGATGATGTCAATGCCAAGAGAGACAATCCCTAGTAGGGAGGTAAACTCCTACTCCCTTCCCTCTAACTGGCACAACCGCTCATTGCAGTGAGATTATGAGCTTCCTTCCCCAGTACATAGCACAGGGATCTGCCTGTGCCAGATTCATGGTGCTTGAGCCGCTTTGGCTGAAGCGATGACCTGTATCTCACTCTCCTTTGTATGCAGATGAAACTCAGAAGGTAATAAGCTGCTTCAGAGCACTCGCTTCTGTAGCTTTGATTTATTGAGCTCAGCACTTCTAAAATACAATCCAGGAAAGATGACACCAGTACAAGGGTTTGTATTGCACCTATCTATTGGCAGAGAAACCAACCTAGCACGAGTAATGCTGCATCAGGTGCAGGGGGATATGGCATCTTAGTAAGTTTTTATGAGGCTTAGAGTTGATACAAATGTACATATGTTTTAGAGAAGACAGCATCTGGTTGTTAGGAAACATGTTTCTGTTGAATTTCTAACTTCCAAATGCTGACAGAAAATGTTTTGTGTTATTTAAAAATAGATGTTTACCGGGCAACAGTCGAATAAATAATGTGTGGCCAAGCAGAAACAAATACTCAGGGAGTGTTTTCTGATCATCTGACTTTATTATTTTGATAATTGAGTAGATCAGGTAGTTATTTTACTCTGAAAATTCCTGTTGGAAAGTTCCAAAAAGACTTCACATACTCCATAACTGTAAGGCTAAGTTTTTAGTGAAGCTGGGAGGAAAAAGATAAAATACACTTTATTTTGGAGGAAAAAAAAAAAGCATGTTGGGTCTAGATTATTTACATATAAGCATGTGTGAAAATATGACTTGTTTTGGCTTGATTTTACTTAAGACATTAAAAAAAATATACAGTACAGTCAGTTTTGTTTTCATATTTTGTTTCTATTGACATGTAGAAGTTTTTCAGTGAAAAAGCTGACAAACTGTAACGAAAATCAATGAGAATCTTCCAAGACGGTGACAAAGTCTTATTCTCATAAAGTGTTTATCAGTTGGGACAGTCTACATTTCATAGATAAGCTCCTGCTGCAAATGAAAAAGTTTTATATCCTTTGTTCATGTTAGAGTTAAGTGATAGAAAGCTTAGGCCGTGGGCTAATATGATACCAAAGTGGTTTGTTCTTAAGAGCAAGAGCAATGACTGCTTCCTCCTTAAAGAGCTCTGATTGCCTGGCATGTTTGGTCGAAATCCAAACCAACTTGCTTTGAATGACAAATTGATTGTTGTGTGCATTTTTGATAATACAGCAATTTGTCTCCTCAGGCATACTGCTCTAATCCCCCCTTCATTTATCAGTGGGGAATCAGTAATTCAGCTCTTCTTCAGGCTGAAGTTTGGCACACAGAGGTGGTGCTCCACTGCGCAGTTGCAGATCCTGTGGCGAAGATCCCTCTCCCAGCAGTGTCTGCATACCAATTCCTCAGCATGCTTTGCGTAGCACTCACTGCACTGCTGATTTTAGGAGTGTAAATGTTTGTCAACAACAGACAACAGGATTTTGTGTCTTCCTGAGATTTTAAATGCCTTGTTTGCTTACACATTTTTACTTCTTATTCTGTGCTCTGGTGCTGTTTGCATCTTCTGGTTCAGATGAGCAGGAAGTGTTCATAGAATCATTAAAGTTGGAAGAGACCACTAAGATCACCAAGTCCAACCCCAACCATCCCCCCATTCCCACTGATCACATTCCTCACTGCTACATCTCCATTTTTCTTGAACACCTCCAGGGATGGTGACTACACCATCACCCTGGGCAGCCTCTGCCAGCACATCACCAAATTTCTTCTCAGAATCTGAGAATTCATCTTTTACACCAGTTTGGGGTACCCCATGTAGCAACACCACTTATTAGCAAGGTGCAGAACTTCTGTGGTTGTTTGTCTCTCATTCTGTGGTTGTGCCATGTTTCCCCTGACTCATAGAATGTTTGTGTCACCAACTGCATGTGTCCCAAATAAGATACCATCTGTCCTGGGAAAAACAGAATTGTTTCAGCAGCAGAAGTGCAGAGTGAAACAATATGTAAGTCTCCACATCCTTCCCGCTTTTCTGGTGGCTTTTCACAGATCCTTTACCATGCTGAACTCAGTGGTGTTGCTGATAGTCAAGATATTTCTGTAGAAATGCCAAACATACAGCAAAGCAGAAAAGCATGCGGTCTGAGCAGGGTGTATGCAGTGATGACTTCTGAACACCATCACGTGCCCTCACAAACCATAAAGCTCATGGACAGTAATTCCTTCTTGGCATGCAGCAGGGTAGGGCTTTTCCACTGCTCGCAGCTTACTGAGAAAGCCACAGCACATCTGTTCAGTGGCATTCTTTGCATAGCCTGCCTGGATAAGCTGTCGCTCTTGATTTTTATAGCATTTCACAACAGGGTGTTAGCCTAGAATGGAGAACCTCTCCAGACTAACACCTGCAGAGATCCTCGACTCATAAACACTTGTTGTGTAGGGCTGGAAACATGTCTTAAGTCAACAGGGGATCCGTATTCTCTGCTAAAACAAAGTACACTAATACATCTGCCCTCCATCAACTATTGTCTTCTGTTTTGCATTTATGATGTTTCTATATCAATGCTTTTATCCTTTCCTCAGTGCTGCCATTTGGGTTCAAGCGATGCTCCTTAGAACATCTCTTCAAAACTCATTTCTGGTTATCCTTTTGAGGAGGTGGCTTCCTGTTCTGTTTCTCTGAATTTTAGACTGCTTTGCTGGCTGGAGATAGAAGATGGAGTATGTACACAAAGGCTCTCGTTAGCCTGGGGATGCTAATTTCCTTAAGCCTCATTGATAGTCAACCAGGGAACGATCCTGAGCATTTAAATTTAGTGTGCTCCTCTGAGTCTCCCTTGAGATGTTTCTGTCTCTCTCCATTGACACTACAGATGACTGTGTTGATAAATATTTGTCTTTATGAATATTTCCTTGTTTGTTTGATCTTTAACAACAAGCATTTTTCCTTTTTCTTTTGCTTCATACTGCGCATTTTCTCTGTTGAGTAGAACTCACCAGATTGAGGGAATGGGATGTTTTGCTTGTATTATTAGATCTTGACTTGGTTGCATTTTTAACCTATCATGAGTTTCAGTTAATAACTATCTCATCAGTGTCTAGTCCAAAGGGACAAACTTATGGATTACTTTCATTGGACACTGCTATCCTGACTTCAATAACATTGTCCTACAGCAGCCAGGGACACGGCTAGATGATGTTTCCTTCAAACAAAGCCCACAGCCCTACTGCCACCCTATTGCACTGGTCATGTTGGAATATAAACAGCAAGTGTTTAAAAAGCTTTGAAAATAAGTCTTTGTTTTTATATTTCCTTTGGCTGAAATTAGCCAAACAAATAAAGCCATGCCTTTCATATCTCTTTTACAGTCCTGAATGAATACGTTGGTTGATGAATAACATTTGGGAGTGCTATCATTCCCAGAATGTACTAGTTAAAAAGCTGTTTCTTTAATTCTCTTGCAGTAAACTACTTTATAAAGAATGGTACGGAAGATGTGTTACTGTGTGGAAATAGCACTGATGCTGGGTAAGTGATTTAAAAATATCTTCACTTCTGTTCTTTATGTTGTTGTTGTTACATTTCTTTCAGTTCTGTCCACTTTTCACCAGCGTGATATTTCAAGTTCTTTGTGTCAGTAGTTATAGGAGAGAGGATAATGACAATATTGCGCATAGTAATGCAATTTTCTGAACTGCAGGGAGGAGAAGTTTGTGTGTGTCACTTATTTAGGTCTAAAATCGTTAGTTCTTTTTCAATGTATTTAAACTCCTCCATTAAAAAAAAAAAAAAAAAAGTGAAAATTAAGTAACATTGGCTGAATGGGGAGTGTTTCAAAGGGAATGAATGAGAAATGAATGGAAAAAGAAAACCTAGAGGGATCTTGTGATGATGAATTCCTGGCTTTTGGCAGAGGATGATAAACAAATCCAAAAATTCTAGTTCCAAAAATAGAATGCTCTGGAGGTGGGAAGGTACTCAGCTTTAATGTGCGATCTACACTCGTATGTGATATGTTTACAGTCTGCATGTGTTTCATTTTCTTATAGTCTGTGCAGCAAGGAGATCAGTTCCCATGGTATACTAATTTATTCTGCACTAAGGACTTTGTCCATACCCCTACTACTTGTGAATGCTGACTTTTCCTTCTGCGTCCCATCCTCAGGGTCTAAGCACTTTGGGTGTGTTATTTTATGTGAAAGGTTCTTGTGACCTTGACAGGAATGGAAAAGGAAATTATAAGCCATGCAAAGACTGTAGGATGTTCAGAGTTGTGGGTCAAAGAATAGAGACCTTAGCATGGTGAGATGGATGAGCTTTTGATCTGAATATGATAGATATTTGATATTTGAACCAAGGAGGTGGATGATCAAGTGAGGGGAGTAGGAGAGAGGATGTGCTTTCGGAGGAGGATGTTCTGAGTTGGTAGAACTAAATGTTCTACTGACAAAAATTAGGATTTAAATTATAAAGAACTTGATGTAAAAAGAGGTATACGTGTATAGACAGACAGTAGGGAACCTGCTTTGGCAGGGGGGTTGGAGGGTTGGACTTGATGATCTCTGGAGGTCCCTTCCAACCCCTACAATTCTGTGATTCTGTGATTCTGTGAAAAGATGTAATGTAAACTTGCTTGTAGTCAGGAGGGTGAAAAAAGCCATGAGGTCCTGAATAGAGACTGCTTTCTGCTGCCACTGTTACACCTGTATTTGTGAAAAACAAAGGTTAAGATGAAGTGTCAGCCTTCGCTCTGCATTCTTGTGTGTCTGATCTGCATTGCCAGTATAACTTAGGCTGTAAACTCCTTGGGCAGAGCGCCATGCTTTCCTCTTTGTTCCAAGGAAGGTACAATGTCAGCATTCATTAATTAAGCGTTTTTTTGATTGTAATACACTGCATGTATCCAGGCTCAGGTTGGCTCCAAGACTTTTGGGATAGTTCCCAGGAATCCCATAATTTGGCAGTCTATCTGCACTGGTGGATTGGCTTAGGACTGCCTTTCCTAGGCTATAGGTAGTACCACTGAGCAAGGAATATTCAGCACAGCAGCAACATTTTGCACATCATGAAATATTACAAATTATTCTCACTGTTGACTTGATCTGTGGCTGTGACAGCTTGCTAAGCTCTTGAATAGTTTTGAAAGGTTTGATTAGATTATAGGTAGTTTGTGAGGAGTAGGTTGGGGCCTACAGCTCTGGAATAGTCCAAATGGTGGGAAGTTAAGCACAGTTCCAATACCTGTGGAATAGCTTTATATTTGTAGGCTGTATGGATTTGGGGTTTGCATTCTAGAAAGGTATATTAGCAAAATCAGCTACTCTAGAGAGTCAGTAAATTGCACTGTGTCAGCAAAAAAATCATGATTGGAGCAAGCTCCCATGGAGGCGCTGTGACCACAAGAGACATGGCCTGAAACTGCCAGAGGAGAACTTCTAGCTTCTGTGTAATGAGAAGAGGAAAGTGTCACCCTTAGAGTCCTGGTGCTTTTTTCTTTGAATATATCAAAGCAATTGGTATTTGTGCTGTTAATGAGAAACCCACTCTCCCTTTGTGCATCAACTTTCTTCATCCCTTGCTCTTTCAGTGAAGTATTTAGTACCACTGGGTATGGTTTGATTTTAAATGCTTTATAATGGGAATATATACTCCTACTGTTTTTCAGTTCAGAGCTAGTAAATGTTGTCTCACCTTCAATACCTTACACAGATTTCCCATCACTCATCCACTTCTATTATTTAAAGACATAGGGATAATTAGGCATGATCCTAATGCCTCAGGGGACTTGCAAAGTCATGTATTCTTATCTGTTAGGTAACAAGACTGTTATTTAAAGGCTGACAAGGTAACAAAGCAGGACTTTCTCTTATCCATCAGTGGTTAAAGCCAAGAGCAGTAAAGTGAGTTCAGTAGCAAAAGATCAGGGGAGGTAAGTGAAGAGTAAATGGATGCATCAGATCATAGTCCTCCTATCTATTAGCAATGAAATTAATGGGGGAAGGACAGTTGGCAAGGCCGTGTTTGAATGTTCATAGCATTTTTGGAGCTTGCTTCTGCCCCTGCTCTGAAAGAGCTTGAAATTATTAGCCTCTGGGTTATGCTGAGGATCCAGAGGAAATGCTGGGAATGGTGGTATCATGTGTGCACTCCTGGAGGGATTTGTTGTTACAGTGAGGGATATCTGTGTTGTGGCTGGGATATTAAATCTCACGGTAATTGACAAAACCATTTTAGTGCATTTTTAAAAGCATGTTAATGACACTTTGAGGTTTGGCTGCTTGCTGTTATTATAGAATAGTAAAAAAAAAAATAAAATCTAAATTTGGCAATTATTTGGCAGTGAGACTCAGATGGTCTGATGTAAGAGTGTTTAGTGATGGCGACTGCAACCTGAGCTGTACCAGCAGGCCAAAATCAGCAGGGAAATGATCATCAGTGGATGCTGTATCACAGACAACCTAATTATCTCAAAGGTGGGGGCTTTATTACATTACTAGGAGGGACTGTTTTCTGAACAAGTACCCAAACTGCCAATAAAACAGGAGGTAATGGATCTAGCTAATATTGATTCTGGTTCAGAAGGGATTTGAATAGATGGATGTCACTCAGCAGCAGCAAACATGTCTCCAGTACATTACCTGGCAGATGGAAGAAAAAGCGTTTGTTTATTGTTTTACATACACTCAAGCAACTTTGAGGAGTTGCATTAAAAATGACATTGCAGAGATATGGTAGGAGTGTGGGGGAGAAGACATGTTTCTTGTTGGGACAAGGAACAATCTGTCTGTGGGTGAGGGATTTCCCATGTGATGCCTCAGAAACTTGATTCAGGAAGCCTGAAAATTGATTTTTCTTCATTGAATCAAGTGGAAAATTTGTGGTGTTTTTGTTTTGTTTATCCAGCTGCTTTTTTTATTTTTTTTTTTCTCAAGATGCACTGCTAGAATATACTGTGTACTTAAGAGAAATGGAGGATCCAGTGGAAACAAGAATTAATGGTTGGAGTCGAGAGGAAATGATTGTGATCAAAGATGTTCTTTGGCTCAAAGAGAACACTACTGACGCGTACTTGGTGTTTAACCACAAGCACATTCAGAGCGCTGCGTTAATGGAAAAATCCTCTGCTCTGAGATGTGTGTCACAGATTGGTCAGACATGGGAAGCAGCGCTGGCAGCAAGGCTCTTTTAATAATAATAATAAAAAAGAAAGTGTAGGGTACTTGCAGAATTATTTATGTTTCTCGATGTATTTTGGGTCAGATTTCGTTGTTCTTTTAGATGTGGGGGCACTGGGATTTATTCAAGTTAGTTCTCTGCAATTTCAGCTTCTTTGATTTGATTTGGTTAAAGTAAATGGAGAAAGCTCTACCACTCTGATTTTCAAAGGGATTGCAAATTCCTCTATAAATCTGCCTTTCAGTATAATTCCCAGACTAGTATCTCATCTATCTTTGAAACCTTGTTAAACCTAAGCCCTGAGGAGGTCCAGTAAAGATCTGGTACAGCGATCAAACACTTGGAAGATTTCTGCTAGGATCAGAACGTGAAAGCTGCTTTAACCTTCATGAAATCTGTTACCAGTAAGTGGACTCTGATGTGCAAGGACTGCAGGTGACTGAGTTGCCTCATTGGAGCAACAGACACCACACATGGCCGGTGCAAGCATCCCACACTTTTAGGAGGCACCAAACTCATCTTTTAAAAGTGAGGTCAAATGTGCCACATATCCATTAATGAGATGATGCCAATGGCAAAATAGCTTTAGAGTATGCTCAAGGACCCATTTGGCATGCTTTGTGCCTGGCTCCAGGTGATGGCACATGATCAGTGCTGAGCAAAATGGCCAAGAAGACTCTTGAGAGTGCTGCTGGCTTGAGGAAATGCAGTCCTGATCGCATGTTCAGCCCCAGTGTTGGCATTCTGCTTGAGTTGATGCTCAACTGCATCTTTACTAGGCATCTCCTGCTGTGATCACCAGACCAGATCTCCCAGGGATGAGCTGCAGGGAGCTTTATGTGGCATGGTGCACCATCCTGCATTGTGCCACCCGTGCAATTACAGCATGTTCCTTCTCAGTGACTATTAACCATTCATTTTAATGAGATATTCAGTACCTCGGAGCCCTGTGCTTCCCCACAGGACAAGGACTTATGGGGTGCCTCAGCTTGGGATTATCAGTCCATGAAAAAGGAACACACATTTCAGCTCCAAAGCAGTTCCACTTTTGTGCTGTTGTAATTTCACAGAGACATTTCTCCAGCTTAGACTGCTGTTCTGTCACCTACAGGTTTGGACGAGCAATAGGAACAGTGAGGAGATTTGTCCATTAGGAGAATGAGAAATGGACAGTATGCAGTATGCAAAGTCAGCAAGCAGAAAAAGAGAAACTCATCTTTGTTCTTTTCACTTCTTTTTTTTTCCACTTGCAACTACAATATGCAGCTGTTAGTTTTTGGGTTTTTTTTTTCAGAACAGTGTGTGTGTTTTAAGTCAATTGTGTCCCCTCAAGGTCAGACTGCTTTTTTGTT